TTTTAATGAAGGAAAAATCAGAAGTAGGGAGAATATTTGAAATTTATCATAAGATGGTACAAATACAATTTCAAAGTAATATTCAGATACTTAGAACTAACAATGGTCGTGAGTATTAAACCTTGCTCTAAATTCCTATCTTCAAAAGGTTGGAATTATTCACCAAAGTTCGTGTGTGGACACTCCCCAACAAAATGGAGTAGCAGAAAGGAAGAATAGACACCTTTTGGAAGTGACTAGATCAATCATGTTGGCCACAAATGTCCCACAACACTTTTGGGGAGAAGCTGTCCTTTCAGCAACTCACCTTATAAATCGAATGCCCTCCCGTATTCTTAACTTTAAGACCTAACTCTCCACACTTCAAAACCTATTTCCAACCAGCAAAATCTTTTCCTCTATTCCATTAAAAATATTTGGATGCTCAACTTTTGTCCATAACCTCAACCCTCACCGAAGCAAATTGGACCCAAAATCCATCAAATTCCTTTTTCTTGGTTACTCTCCTCACCAAAAGGGTTATAGGTGTTACTCTCCCCATACCAAAATATTTTTACCACACTATGGATGTAACCTTCTTTGAAAATCAGCCCTATTACACCAAAACTGGTATTTAGGGGGAGCAATACATACATCGTATTGAAAATTCATAATACCAACTTTTGCCTCTTGAACTAACCGAACATGGAAAAATCTTACCAGACCAAACCAGTAACACTCAATCAGCCGAACCTATGCCTAAACCAGCTGAAAAATTACTAAACCAAACCTCTAACATTCAACCGAGTGAAAGGACAATAGAAGCTGTGACGGAAACCAGACCAATTATAGTCTCAACCACACCTCAACAGAATTGTGATCCAAAAACAGGTAATTGGAAGGTTTATAAAAGGAGGAGGAAGGAAGTAGAGTCAAGTATAGCTCCAATGCAAGGCCATGAATCCAACCAAGCTCTAGAAAATGAAGTTCCCACCGATAATATTCTCCCTAACTCTGAATATATTGTTACAAATACAACAGATATGGATATTCCTATTGCTATGAGAAAAGGGGTTAGAACATGCACCAAACACCCTAATGAAAAATATATCTCCTATGGAAAACTATCAAAAAGTTACAGGTCCTTTGTAGCAGCTGTTGACAACATAGAAATTCCAAATAATAGTCAAGAAGCATTGCAGAAAGCTGAATGGGCAGCAGCTATAACAGAAGAAGTTCAAGCACTTGTAAGAAGTGGCACATGGGAGATCACCGCTATACCAGAAGGGAAGAAAGCAGTAGGATGCAAGTGGATATTTTCAATTATGTACAATGTTGATGGGAGTATAAATAGGTATAAAGCTCGGTTGGTTGCTAAGGGGTTCACACAATCATATGGGGTGGATTATGAGGAGACTTTTGCACCTGTTGCGAAGATCAATTCTATTCAGGTTCTACTATCTCTGGCAGCAAATCTAGATCGGCCCCTGTACCAACTAGACATAAAGAATGCATTTCTAAATGGTGAGTTAGAAGAAGAGGTATATATGAAAATTCCTCCAGGACTTGAATCACCCGGGACCTCCAACATGGTGTGTTGACTTCGAAAATTTCTATATGGCCTCAAACAATCACCAAGGGCATGGTTTGACAGACTAACAAAGTTGTCAAGCAAGATGGTTTTGTTCAATATCAAACAGACCATAGTATGATTGTCAAGCAGTCTTTGGATGGGAAGATAAATTTGTTTATTGTCTATGTTGATGATATCGTAATTACGGGAGATGATGATGAACAAGTCAACCAGTTAAAGAAACTTCTAGCCAAAGAATTTGAAGTCAAAGACTTAGGACATCTCAAGTATTTTCTAGGGATGGAAATTGCACGGACAAAGAATGGTATTTCAGTTTCTCAAAGGAAGTACACTTTGGATTTACTTCAAGAAACATGTATGCTTGGATGCAAAGCTGCCAATACTCCCATAGAACAAATAAAAAGGAGTGAAAATGAGAATATACCAGCTAATAAAGATAGATACCAAAGTCTAGTTGGAAAACTAATCTATCTAACTCACACCAGACCAAACATTGGTTTTGCTGTAAGCATGGCTAGTCATTATATGTCAAATCCAATTGAAACTAACATGAGAAATGTTAACAGAATTCTCCAATACCTAAAAGGTATGCCAGGTCGAGGACTCTATTTTCAAAAGAACTCAAACAGAGGTATTGAAGTCTACACTGATTCAGATTGCGCAGGATGTTTATCTAACAGGAAATCGACTACAGGCTACTGCACATTTGTATGGGGTAATATGGTAACTTGGAGAAGCAAGAAACAGTCTGTTGTGGCTAGGAGTAGCGCAGAAGCAGAATTCAGAGCTATATCACAAGGTATTTGTGAAGGATTTGGCTTGAGCGAATGCTAGGTGAAATCAAAATTCCTACCAAACATCCTATGAAGATATTATGTGATAACAAGGCTGCTATAAGCATTGCGAAGAACCCAGTTCAACATGATAAAACAAAGCATGTAGAGATAGACCGACACTTCATCAAGGAGAAAATTGATCATGGAATTATAAGTGTTAACCATATTCCATCATGCCAACAAACTTCATATATTCTAACAAAAGCCCTTCTAAGGAACATATACGAGAATATCAGATCCAATCTGGGTATGATAGACATCTACCACTGAGATTGAGGGGGAGTGTGGAATAATCAATACAGAATCAAATGATTCTGTTTGTACAACTCATTAGGATTAGGACTAATGTAATTAATTAGTTATTATTTCCTGTTTTTACTGTAATTAGAATTAACATTTATGGGAAAATTAACTCCTCTGATTTCTAGGACAAATTTCCCTTTCAAATTCTGCCTTATATATTCTATAAATATTGCTATGTAATTCTCATCAAATACAAGGAAATATAAAGTATATTTCTACATATTATAATAAAATATTCCATCTCAATTAAAAACAATTTTATATCAGTCAAATTAATACCAGTTGAAGGGACACATATGTCGATTTTGACAAAATTTAACGAAAATGATCAATGTGACTAAAAAATTAATTTTAGAAATTTAAAATGAATGTTTATTAAATTTGAGATAAAAATTAATTTAAGAGATTTAAAACAAACATTTATTAAATAAAAGACGAAAATAAAATATGAAATTAAATTAAACGACCAAACACATGCATTAAATTTATAAGTCTTAATTTAGCTTGCTAAAAATTAAGACTATTTCTTAACGCACCTTATATGTTTCTACTGCACCACACGAATTTTAAAAAATGCCTTCTGTTTTCGAAGATGAATTTCCGGACGCACTTCTTACACACTCAACAAAAGCCATTCTGAAAAGCGTTCTATTAGTTGAGTTATTTTTATTCTAGAGATGCATCTCTAGAATTATGGGCGAGATTTTGAAATTTTCTATCACCTTTGCATGTCAGATATTTTCAGAGATGCATCTTCGGAAATATTTGATAAAAGAAGAAAATGCATGATCAAACAATCATTGTTGCCATAGTTGGTTTTCAACCAAACCCTTCACACACAAAAAAACACACTCCATTCTCAATCAATTTTTTCATCCAAATCTCCATTCTTTTAGTTCATCACATCATAGGGAGTAAAGGAAGATATAATTTTAGGTAAAGATTCTTCATTTCCCCCCTGCATTGCTCACATTAATCATCTTTTTTTTTTTAAATAGTAAAGTTGTGTCCGAAAATGTATCTCCGAAACGTGTATGAACTTTTCAAGAGATGCATTTTTGGAAGTTGTCTGTGTTTGATCTCCAAGTCTGTCTTCAGTAGTAGCGCTTATATACTGTTATGATTTTAATTATTTTCATTAGATATGGTGCACCCTGATATTTTCCCCAAACAAGTTGTTTCTCCGAATGTCCAAAGTATTGTTGTGAAGACGGTAGATATTGACAACTAATTTAAAAACAGGCAAGAGTTTGAATCTCGTAATAAAATGCTTTAATGGATTCGTATGGAGGCCTCTAAATTTAGATTTGGTGTGGTTATCAGAAGGTCCGATAATGGTTTGGTAAATGAGTGGTCCATATTGATCTATGACTTATACAAATTTAGGTACTCTTATGTTATATTTTTGCACAAACTGAGAATGTCTCAAATGTTACAAATAAGTATCTATTGGTATGTCGCAAATGTCTCATTCTCCAGCTCTACACCCGAGAAAACGTTTAACCTCACCAATTTCACCTCCCTCGAAGATATCAAAGACGAAATCTACCACCTCATACCTTATGGAGACAATCGAAATATTGTGAAGTTCGAGTAGCGTTCACCGTTGATTGACGACTGAGGGAAGATTGAGTTCAACAAATTTGAGCTCAATACGCAAACAGATGTAAGGGCTATGTGGAGTACGTATTTCCGTTTCGAAACAAAAATTTCGCTCGAGTTAGAAGCGACGATTTCAAGATCGATCAAAGATATTGCAAAAATGTTGAAGCGTCCACCTGAATATTGAAGTGTAATATTGCATTTTACGTTGAAATCATCTATATAATGTTTATTTTATGTTATAAATGTTAATTTTATTTTAAAAAATTACTTAATGTTAAATTTACTACTGATTTATCTCCAAAAATATAACTATGAAAATATTCCAAAAATACATGTTTTTGAAATAAAGTAAAAAATAAAAATAACATAACTCAAAAATGACCGTTCAAAAATAAATCTTAAAAAAAAAAAAGATTTGTAGAAATTCGTATATACGGTGCGTTAAGAAATAGTAGTAGTTAAAATTAAAAATTCAGAGAGTAAAAAAAAGGCAACTAGAACACCGGCCCTATAGCAGATTTAAACTCCAACCTGCACCGTATAAAAGCCCAAGACAACAACATAAGTGTAAGGTAGCGGCTGCTAGTAGTGCGATCTCATCTTCTTCCACACTGTATTAGGGTTTACTTCTAAATCCGAGAAAACCCTTATTCTAAACCCTTGACGGCGGCGTTCGATCCGAAATGGACCCAAACATGATTGCTGATATGGCTTCTCTTCCGGCGGAAGATCAACAGAGAATGACTGCCATGATCGATCAGCTTCAAGTCCGTGACAGGTTTTCAAAATCATATAACTCTTTCTTAATTTATGTTTATTCTCTGTTGCTTACATCATAACCCTTTCAACCTTGCAAATTTTAGGGTTTACTTTTAATTTGTTCATTTCTGTTGTATTTCTGTTGTTTGTGTTAGCATTTAGCATCATGCGTTGAATCTCTTTTGGAATTTGGGGGCTTCATTACTTTTTAAGTAATTGGCAGCACAAAGGTTGCAAATTTTGTGTTTGCCTGTTCTGTGGAGCCATATTGATGTTCTCCTTAAAACCAGTGTGGCTTTTGAATGTTGCTTCTGGACGTTTTGGGAACTACATTTTTAATACTTGGTTTTTTTTCTCTAATTCCTTGTTTTTGCAATCAATCACTTGTAGCTATCGCGTGCACAGACACCTCTGAAAAAGATGAGTTAGTGTGAAAAAGATGAGTTAGTGTTGGCACCAACAATTGTGATTATGTTTAGTTTGTTCATTTTTTCAAATTATTCTCGGGTGTAAGCTGTGTCTGTGTGTTAGTTGTGTGTTTCATGTTTTCAGAATATCCGTCGGGCTTTGTCTTATGAAGATTCTTATCACCTAAGCTCATGAGGAAAGTCTATCCCAAAAGATTAATTCATTAGGCTTGTGAGCCTCATAACTTAGTTACCACATTGATTTTTTGCTATCTACTAAATGCGAGTCTCATAACATTCCCACCTATTTAATAGAAACAACTACAATGACTTTCACTTGGTGGTATCTATTTCTTTGTATCCATTTGGCAGCTTCAAATGGTGTACCTTAATCCATCTAATTGGAAGCTCTTTCCATGGTTCAATTCTTGATAAAAGCATCACTTTTTATGATTGAAGCTCATGAGCAGAGTGCTACCCTAATGACCAGTTCACTACGTGGGATAGCTTAATGCTTAATTACCACGTTCGTTTTTCTTTTGTCCTTAATATGGTACTCATGGCATTATCACTTCGAGTTGAAGTCAATGACTTTCTCCTGTTGGTATCCATTTGGCAGCTTCATTCATCTATCATACTTGATTGTTCAACTTAACCCAGCCTATAGATAGCCATTTATGTAGCCTAACTCTCACTCAAAGCTCCAATTTGTATGGCTTAAATCCGCGAGGAGAGCCCAATTCATTACACTAGTACATTAAATGGAAGAGTCTTGTGGCTTAATTACCAAGTTGGCCTTTCTTATCTACTACTCAAATGTGATTCTCGTAGCAAATTTGCAGTGGGTTACTGTGTTTGAATTTATGTTCAAAAAGGTAACTCAAAAGTTTTAGCAACAAGTTCTGATAAATTAAGATCCCTATGTGAGTCTTCATTTTTAGTTTTTAATTTTTTTCTGAATAAAGAGTATTGTTGAATATACAAATACCTCTATGGTTCTGATGATGGTACTTCGTATAATGTTTTAAAGAAAAATGTTAATGATTGAACATATCAATCAATTCCTTTATATTTTACATATGACTTGGTTAGGTTGGTTGATTATTGCTTCATTGCATTACATGAAAGGCTCTTGTATTTTTCGTGTTTAATTGTATTGATTGCATTCATGGTCATGTTTTTAAGATGGTACCTAATTATATTTTAAAAATTGCATTGCAGCTTGAGAATGTATAATAACCTAGTGGAAAGATGCTTTCAAGATTGTGTAGATACATTTAAGCATAAATCCCTCCAAAAGCAGGAGGAAACCTGTGTTCGAAGATGTGCAGAAAAATTTCTAAAGCACTCTATGCGTGTTGGCATGAGGTTTGCTGAGCTCAACCAAGGAGCTGCAACTCAAGATTGAAGTCCGCCAACGTTGGGAAGCTTTTTTATTTGTCTTCAATTTTTGTTTAGTTATAATAGTTTTGCATTTTAAATGCAAGACAACATATGTATTTCTTCATTGCTATGGTCGCAGAAAATTGATGGTAAATTCTAAATAAGTTTATGAAGATATATTCATTATGCCTTACAACACTGATGCTTGATTGGCATTATTTACTATTAGTTCTCAATATCTGTTCGATAATGAGATCATGCCTTTTGACGAACATTCATCCTTTGCTAATAAGGTCAGTCTCACAAAATACCTTCATTCTGTTAATTCTGCCCAGTTTTATGCACCATAAGTCCTAACACCATAAGTGGGATGGCGGGATGACTGCTCACAAAACACATCTTTTTTCCAATGATGTCTTATCTTGTAAAATTATATTCTTTGCCATCAATTTTTTTGAAACAAACTACTGTATCCATTCTATTTTTCAAACAACTTTAAATTAAAGTAATTCATAGGACATACTCGTTCTTCATCAAACAAATAAACTCATCTTGAAATTAAATAAATCCATTCATATTCTAAATTATGATATTATGTTCACCATCAATTTACATATCTGACTAAAGTAAGTTCTCCATCATGAAATTAATGTCACCATTATTTCCAACTTGAATATCCAAAATGATGATTTTAGGTTCACCTTCAAATTGCACATAGAATGAAAATAAGTTCATCATCAAATTACAAATAAAATCAAAATAAATTCACCATCATTTCAAATTTGAATAAATTCACCATTCTAAAATACATTGAAAGAAACATAATTATATCCTAAAATACATTGAAAAAAACAGTTGTATCAAATTACAAATAAAATCAAAATATTAATTTTATTTTTAATATATCAAATAAAGTTAACCTTATCACATCAAGCTGTCATTACACATGGCAAAGGAGCAGTGCGGAGACGAGTTTTTCTTCGTACCCAAATCTAAATTCCAATTAAATATTTGTTCATCACTCTAAACTTAGACAAGTACCCAAATCCAAATTCCAATTAAATATTTGTTTATCATTCCAAACTTAAATGAGGATAAATAATTGAATCAAAAACTCATCCCAAACATAAATTTCAATTAAATATTTGTGTATCATTCCAAACTTAAATGAGGATAAATAATTGAATCAAAAACTTATCTCAAATATCAAACATATTACGTCTCGCCTTCATCTCCACATCAAAATCAATTTTTAAAGTTGTAAAACTCAATTTTTTCAAACCCATAAATTATCCTGAAGTCTAACAAACAATAACGTATATTAGAAATAATGAAATTTAAATTTCAAACATATATTTTAAATATTTTAAATAATAAAATACAAATCAAAATATCAGCTTATTAACCAAAAAATTATTATCCTAAATCATCAAAAATATTTTAAGTTATTATCAAGGCAAATTCAGAATGGTACTAGTATTCCAGTTATCAATCTCATCATCATATTTTAAAATATGAGAAAATTCAAACATAAACTCAATCAAAATGGATTTTTATCAAACACATGATGGATTTGGACAAATACTCGTAAATATATGTTTTGTTGCTAAATCTATTTATCATCTTTGATTTCACCACTATTTAGACATAATCCAAAAATCTTGAAAAATTAAAATATACACACAAATCATAATCATAATAATGTCATTAATAAAGTAAGAAGTAAAGAAAGACTTTAGGTTTTTCATACATTGTGTTACTCTTCATTCATTTGTTCTCGTAAATCAATCACCTCAAATTTTCTTATCTAATTTTGAGTGCATATCAATACTTCAACGGTAGTAGAATTCAAACAATTACTAAATTGATCAAATATCCGACCATTTGTACCAACAAAATAACTCATAAAAAATGGTAGGCACCAATATAAATAATATATCTCTAGACATGTGAGAAAAGACGTAATACTTTGTAAATATTTATTTCCACCAACTCAAAATATTCATTTTCAAGGCTCAACATACCTTTCTAATTCACTCTTTTTTACATCAACTTTTTTTCTTCATTTTCAAACTAAAATAATAATAATCATCATTATTATCATATTGACTTGTGTTAGCTTGTGTACTGTTGTGAATCGTCAAGAACAAACTAAAATATGAGAAAAAGATCGAGTTTCTTGAATACACACAAGAAATTCTATTAGGTTTTACAAAAGATAGAGAATAAGGAAGAAGAAAAATAAGAATTGGTTAAAACTGTTTTGCTATTCACTTTCTAAATAAAGGTTCAAAAATTACAAGTGAATACTAACAATTAATCTCTCTCTCAACAACATGAGAGAACTAGCCTATTTACAGACTACTAAGCTAACTTGAGCAACAAGCAAACTTAAACAATTGAGTTTACAAACAAGGTCCAATTCGATATACTAACTTAAATTACAAGTTAACATATTTCGACAATATGATTGAATAGACTTTTGACTACAACATACACAACTCTTTTCTAACCATGAAGCTATCATTGTCGACACTAGAGTTCGATCCAAAATACCACAAATCTCCACCTTGGAACAAACTCTACACTAACAAGGTAACAAACTAGTTTTCATCATCCATGGCTTTCAGCTATTCAGTCTTATTTCGACTTCTCATAACTTCCTTATAGTTTCTAGGTCCTTCGTCAATAGCCTCACTTGCAGAGATTAAAGCATAAGGTATGAGATCTACATAAACGAGTATCTAAGGTGGCTTGATGACTCTTCTCGACCTGTCTCTTGTCAGCAGGTAGTTATTATCAGTCTCTTCAGCTTCGGCAACAACTTCTGCATTTTATTTGACTTCATTTGAGTCATACAATTCAACATCACTACGCTCCACCTTAACATGAAACTCTTCATGTTCCAGCTCTTCTTTAGAGATTTTCGAACTTCGACCAATATCATTTGTTTTCTTGAAAGCCATCTCAACTTCATTTAAAGATACATATTAACTTGTGATACACCTCTTGTGATCCAGCTCTAGGCACCATAGCGTATACACTTTGACTCTTTTAGGGTATCCAAGGAACATATATCTTAGAGCTCTAGGTACGACCTTGTCTTGTCTAATATGAGCATAAGCTAAACGAACAAATACTCTAAGTCTGTCGAGAGTAGGTGGATGTCTCGATCAAACTTCTTCAGGTGTCTTCATTCCCAAGGCTGCCTAGGGACATCTAATTATCAAGTATGCTGCAGTTACAACAACTTATGCCCAAAACACTTTCTTCAATCCCGCACTTACCAACATGCACCTCACCCTTTCCATAATGGTTCGATTAAACCTTTCAGGCAAACATTTTGCTGGGGAGTCCATGCAGTATTTTTGTGCCTTGCAATACCATACGCAACACAATAGCTTTCGAAAGCCTCATTGCAAAATTCAAGACCATTGTCGGTCCTCAACCTCTTGACCTTCTTTCCAGTTTGGTTTTCGACCAAAGTCTTCCAAATTTTGAAATTTTAAAAATTTTCATCCTTAGTTTTTTGGATGAATACCCATAACTTTCTAGAGTAATTATCAACTATGGATAGGAAATACTTTACATATGAGTTTGAATGATTTCTTGTAGGCCCCCAAAGATCAGCATGAATATAATCAAGGGATCCACGTGTTCTTTGTTTACCTTTGTTAAACTTCATTCTATAGGATTTACCTAATACACAAGGTTCACAAAACTCTAGTTTTTCGTCCTTGTCACCACACTACAAATTTTGTTTCAACAATTCGACCAAGTCTCTTTCAATGACATGGCCAAGTCTCTTGTGCCATAGCTCCGCTTTTGACACAAGTTTCATGGATGCCACATCTTCTGAACCATTTACAACCTCGGCCTCAAGGGTATACAAGCCTTGTTTCTTCACGCCTCTCAAGACTTCTTTCGACCCTTTCATTACCCATAGGATGATTTGCTCTCCTTTGAATTCTTGTTGAATTTACCAAGAGAAATCAAATTAATCTTAAGATTGGGTACATACCTAACATTAGTCAATAGTCTTATTGACTTATCATGGAGCTTGAATCTCACAAATCCAATACTTTCAATTTTGCAAGCTTTGTTGTTTCCCAATAACACTAATCCACCATCTTGATCACACAATTCTTCAAACACATCTTTGTTTGGAGTCATGTGACAAGTACACCCTGAATCCATAATCCACTCCTTTCTAGAGTCACTGCTTGAAACCACCAGGACATCAGATGATTCATAACCATCTTTCACAAAGGTTGTATTACCATTATCCTTTCCACCATGATTATTCAGTCGATCAAGGCATACGTTTCTTGTATGATCCTCCTTTTTACAATGATAACACTTAATAGTAGGACTATTACTACCATAATAATTCTATAGAACTTTACCCTTCTTCTTCTCAAACCTACCATATTTCTTTAAGAATTTCCCCTTAACGGACAAACCTTCACCAACAAAAGATGGCTTGGGCTCCTTTTGTTCGTTCAAATCCTTAGAGGATAAGGCAGATTGAACATCTTTAAAGGTCAATGACTCTCTTCTATACAAGAGAGTTTCTTTGAAGTGAGCATGAGACTTAGGTAAATAATACAACAACAACAACACTTGACCTTCATCATCAATCTTGACCTCGATATTCTCAAGATCAAGAATCAACTTATTGAACATATCCAGCTGCTCAGCCAAGGCTTTGTCTTCACTCATCTTGAACGAATACGAAGCTTGATTTAGGTAGAGACGCTTAACCAACAATTTTTTCATATACAAACCTTCAAGTTTAGTCCACACACCATTTGCAGTTTTCTCCTTTGAAACCTGCAGGAGAACCTTATCACCAAGGTTCGACACAATGACACTGTGGGATTTTTTAACCATCATTGTCTTCTCCTTCTCCAATAGGGTAACATCTATCTTCTCTTATCCTTTAAACGCTTCTAACAAACCCTGTTGAACAAGAAGGGATTTCATCTTCAAGCGCCACAAACTGAAACTATTCACACCGATGAA